ATCAATCAACGATATCGATTTGCTCTAAACCATTCGTCTCTTCTTTCAACGGCATTAATAAAGATCATGGAGGTAAGGAAAAAGTAGTTAAAGCCATTATTTCTTTGATTCTTCGTTAACTTCGGCAGCGAGCTGAGCTTTCTCCTTTTTTTTCTTTTATCCCATCAAGTCCGCTACTTTGTTAGACACCTGGAAACGAATTTTTCGATGTAACGACTATGCTCGTTCCCGCCCCTTCAATCAACCAACATACTCTTTCCCTTTTCTACCGCTGCCAATGCATTCTCACGAGATTTATATTCCATTACGTCTCTCTCTTTCTTCCTCTTTCTCTCTTTCTTTCTTTCTCTTTCTTTCTTTCTTTCTCCTTCTTTCTCGTTTTCATATATCGTTCGTTACGTCGGCAGCTGGTGTATATCGTCCATAAGACTTCATTTATCCCGTTCGCGCTCTTGTAAGTACGTACCTGGTCGTAGCTCATTACTGGTTAATTACCGGAGTAAGTCTACTCTGAGAGGCTGACAGGAGCGAGGACGGTGCGTGACTCCCGGCACTAAGTTTTACTACGCGGCGTTAACTATAACAGTACACCCCTTGGCACATTCGACGATTCGCGCTCTCGTTGCTTGACCAAAGCAATCGACAAAGAGAGAAAGAGAGAGAGAGAGAGAGAGAGAAAAGTACCGCGTCAGTGCGAGGCTATGTAAAAGGTGTGTATGTGTGAAGAAAGAGAAGATAGAAAGAGAAGAAGAAGAAGAAGAAGATGAAGAAGAAGAAGAAGAAGAAGAAGAAGGAGGAGGAGGAGGAGGAGAAGGGAGAGGAAAGAGGAAAGAAGGAAAAAAGGAAAGAGGAAGGCGATGATCGTGCCGGTAAATGCGTTCACCGGTGGAACCACTTAACCGGTGTAAGATTACACTCGCGCGTAGATGCCTGTAAAGTCGTCTTTCTACGCTCGCCACATAGTAGTGTCGTGAAAAGGGAGGAAAGAAGAGAGAAAGAGAGAGAGAGAGATACCTAGATTTATATTAGTCGAACGTGTTTCTCCGTAAAGTCTCTTCGAATCTCTAACGGATATTTTAGAGAGAGGAAAAGAGAAAGAGAGAGAGAGAGAGAGAGAGAGAGGAAATAATCCTTAATGAAAATATTGAATTTTTCATGCATATTTCTCGGCTAAGCCAATTAAAAATTCAATATTGTAAGAGAGTAATTGTTTTCATGGTCTATTAAAATTAAAACGAGTTTAGATATAGGAACTTAATCGTAATAAGTCACGCTTACATACATAAATACATACATACATACATATATATATATATATATATATATATATATATATATATATTATATCATTACGAACGAATTTATTTCTAATAACAATTATCAATGCTGAGAAATGGTAATATAATCTTAACGTAATGTAAACGCGTTATCATGTAGACAGTTAAAACATTTCCATCGTGATTTAAATACTCTCATTTATTTACTTACTTACTTATTCACTAACTTATTTACTTACTTACTTACTTACGTCTTTAAAATGTTAAACCTTTAAAAAAGATTGAATTGACTTGAAATGAAATATAATGTCGAAATAATGAATCGCAACATTCAATTACGCATTAATAACAAGGCGGCGAATAAGGGTTTACTGATTAACTCGTGGCAAACAATGTGCGAAAACCAGCGGCTTGTTTTATAACAAACAAACTGACGGTTACGGCCGACACCATGGACAGGAACCATAAATATACTACGAGCACGCGCTTCGGGCATCCTCTTATTTCCAATACGCAGTCAACCACCCCCTTTCTCTTTCTCTTTCTCTCTCTCTCTCTCTCTCTCTCTCTCTCTCTCTCTCTCTCTCTCTCTCTCTCTCTCTCGTCTCTCTCCACCTATATATTTATTTCATTTTCTTTTCTTTTTTATTGATCAAAATGAACATATCGAATTGTCTTTATTCAATTTTCATTTCGACGTTTAGACCATTATTGCAAAAAAATTATACCCACAATTAAGAGATCTTTTCTTCGTGTGAAATTGTTGGGTGATAAAAAAAAAAAAGAGAAGAAAGAAAAAAAACAGCAAAAAATAAACAAAATCGTTTATGGTAAAAAATCGGTGATACTCGAGTTTCATTATTTTTCTTTCTTTTTTTTCTTTCTAAATATTATTACATCCTACGCATATCATTCCACTTGTCGATTCATAATTAATAAATTGCGTCCACTCGATATCATATTTTTCTTGTATGGATGATCACGTGATGTTGCAAGATCCATAAATATTCTGATTTAATTTATAAAATCGATAGGAGAATATGAGAAAAAAAAAAATAAAAGCAGGGACGGTAAAAAACAAGAACAATAAAAAATAATAATTCAATAAACGTTTCAAGGTTCGAGAAAGTAAAAAAGAAAAAGAGAGAGAGAGAGAAAGAGCACATTGCAGTAATCCTATTATCCAAGTACAAAAGCACGTATTACACAAATCGTAATCTTCGTATTGCCCTTTACGGTATTTCCACGTGGATATATCCTCTACGAGGACCTCCTTTTCCCGACGTCGAATCGTAAAATTCTTGATATTTTCGCACACGTGGCAGTGACTCTCCCTCCCTCTCTCTCTCTCTCTCTCTCTCTCTCTCTATTCTTTTAATTACACGCTGCATGCGGTACAGTGCATTAACCGACACGTAACATTCGAGGTATAGTAGAAAGCACGACATTTCTAAGTTCACAACGACGATCTGTGTCGGTTTGATCGTAAAGAAAAGTATTGGATAGAAAGAGAAAGAGAAAGAGAATGAAAGAGAAAGAGTAAAAGAGAGAGAGAGAGAGAGAGAGAAAGAGAGAATGAAGGAACAAGATAGAAAAAGAGAATGAAAAAGAGAGAGAGAGGGAGAGAGAGAGAACGATATAAGAGAGGACAAAGCATCGGCGTCGCCGATGTCGTCGTTATCTTACAAGCTTCGATCGTTTCTCACTGTAATCGCGGTGCAGCTACGTTTACTGGCACGGAACGTCGTTTAAAATCTACGAACACAGAGGCCTATCGTGCGACGCGTCACCGGACCGTAAGAAGAAGACAAGGTATTACTTCGAACGAGTACCGTCGTTCCCTGTTACAAAACACTGATCTGTGATACTATATTATATACGTTGTGTATATATATATATATGTGTATATGTGTGTATATATATATATGTATATATATATATATACACATATGCGTTACGTATGCCAAACGCATAAGAAGCATTTGCAATGTCTTAAAAATATTGACCGTTGGTTAATGAGATATAGTTTACTAGAGTATACTGTAATTGTTTGATGTATAACAATGCAATAGTAAAAAATGATAAATATACAATAGTATATAACAATAATAATAATAATAGTAGAAGATAATATTTACTAGATAATATCTATAATTCTGTGAAAAGTACGACAGTATGAATAATAAAAAATAATAATAATACAAAATCGTATCTATATAATATTAAATATACAATAGTATATAACAATAATAATAGAATAATAGTTTACTGGTATACGATAGTAAATGATAAGATAGTAAACAATAGTAATAAAACAATAGTTTACCAATATATCTTGTAATTGTTCGAAAAATCTTTTTTTAGATCGTAACGATATCATATTAAGTATCTTTAAGTTTATTGATTTGTTAAAGTAAAAATTTTATTCACATTAAATTTCCCCATAGCAATAGAATCTAAATACCTATTATAAATATAACTGATATCTCATGCAATTAATTCACCTTTATTTAATTGAAGACATTGTAATCATAGTAAGGACCATGGTAATTAAATACAATCTCAATGGGTACGATCATGTCCCATATACGAGATTTCCTTATTCCAAGGAGAGAATCTCGTGTAAAGAAACTAACGAGAGGAATTGATTTAAATTAACGTCATTGATTCTACGCATACAATAGCGTATACGATGCGTTTCCATGACATCCGTAACTCAAGACAGAGTGACTATTACTACTACTACTATTACTACTACTGCTACTATTACGACTAATATTACTACTACTACTACTAACAACACCCATAGAAGTGAACGTGCGAACTTCGAATTAGATAGGCGTACGTAAATGTCTGACGCGCATTTATGCGTAAGCTTACGAAGAAATAAGACACCATAGAAAATATCTCTGTCGGTCCCACCAACGCTTGGCTTCTTCTTCTTCTTCTCTCGTTTCTTCTTCTTTTTCATGAATATGCATTGCCTTTTTCCGGCCACCATGTGCGAGAGAGTGCGTTGCTCCCAATTTGTCACACACCGTGGCATTATCCCATTTTGTTAATAAAGTAATATTACACGTTCATGAGAGTGAGAAAACGGGAGAGAGAGAGAGAGAGAGAATTGCGCGTACGTACGCACATGTGTGTGTATATGTATATGTGTGTATGTCTATATATATATGTGTGTGTATGTGTAGATGTGCGTATGTGTTGAATCGCGATGGGTGATTTACTTTTTCACTCCGTTGCCACGGTGCAATTATGCAACTTGGTAATTGCACGGCGCCTTGCCCGCCAGGTAGTCGTGAGTCCTCCTCCTCCTCCTCCTCCACCTCCTCCTCCTCCTCCACCTCCTCCTCCTCCTCTTCCTCCTCCTTTTCTTCCTCTCCTCTTTTCTCAACTCCTTTTCGCATCTTCTTCTTTTTCTTCTTCTTTGTCTCTCTCTCATATCATCGTCCTCAGAGTATAACGAGACTCGACTTTATTACCGAGTTCCTTTTCATCTCGGCTTTACCAGGTGTGTGACGTTAAAAGAAAAGAATGGAGAGGGATATATTGCTTTCTCAAAGAAAAGAGAAAGAAAGAGAGAGAGAGAGAGAGAGAGAGAGAGAGAGAGGGAGAAAGACGAACGGAGGAAAATAAATTCCGTTTTCAGAATCATTTGATTTAATGAACGTCTAACGATATTAATCACGCTTCATTTTATTACTATGTATGTTGCAGAACGATCGAGGTGATTTCACGAGGTGACGAGAATAACGACGTTGATGTTGTTGATCAAGACGAAGACTCGAAGGTAAGGAAGACGTTCACTTATGAAAGAAAGTTATTAGATATACTCGTGGGAAATAAAATTTTTTTTTCTATAATATAAATCCCTTGATATCTGTCGTATCGATATGTACATATATATATATATATATATATGAACATATACCCATACACATAAGATAATTACTTTAATAATAATTATATATACCTGCCCTGAGGTATCTTACATATATATATATATATATATATATATATATATATATATATATATGAATTATAAATGACAGTAAAAATTACATATATATATTTTACATGCATATCGTGAAACAGACATATTTCTTTTAGAACTGATACACACATACACGCGTACACATATATGCAAACATTTGATTCTACCCAATCGAAAAATAAATAACTTGTAACATATTCGCACTCATTGCACGGTAGCCGTTAATGGATAGGGAATGAGCGTAAATTATCGGAACGACTCGACGACATCGAGAGCTCGAGAAAAATATTTCGAGGTACGAAAAGAGAAAAAGAGAGATAGAGAGAAAAAGAGAAAGAGAGAGAAAGAAAAAGAGAGAGAGAGAAAGAAAGAGAGAGAGAGACAGATAGATAAAAGAGGAAAGAGGAGGACTCGTCAGAGAGAGATCCGTACGGTCGATGTCGATCGGCAATGCGAAAGCGCGCCTTGTCCCGTAACCGGTATGCCAAGCCCGAAAAAAAGTCGCAACAACATCGAGTGCGTGTCGCGCGATTCCGAGGACACCGATTTCACGAGAGATACATTAATGCCGAGTCGAGTCTTGTACATTATAACGTCGTCGAATAAATTCTCACCGAAGGAAGGGCAACCGCGTGTGCGCGAGCGCGACCGCGTGCACTTCGATATAATTCAGGCCCCCTTGGCTTTTCTAAGAATTCTCAAGCCACGTAGGATAAGAAAAATAAATTTAAAAAAACAAGGAAAAAGAATAAAAAATGTATAAAATGTATTAAAAATCTATTAATATAGTAGATATAATCATTATATATATATATATATATATATATATATATATATATATAAAATGAAAAAGAAGAAGAGTGAGAAAAATGTCAAGATATATTATATAGGTATAGGTATATATACATGTATGTATGTATATTTGCATCCTTATTTTCCTCTTCTTTTTTCGTTTTCCTTTTTTTTCTTTTCGTTTTACTTTTTTCCCTTCTTCTTTTTCTTCTTCCTCCTCTTCTTCTTCCTCCTCTTTTTCTTCTTCTTCTTCTTCTTACTCGACTCTTTACTCGACTAACGATGCGATAATTTAACGCGAGCTACGCACGCCTTTCACTAAGCCGATGCGATCGCAAACGGTACCTTTCAAAAGAGTCTGTAATGCGTACGAAAGAGTGTGAGAGAGTAACAGAAAGAAAGAGAGAGAGAGAGAGAGAGAGAGAGAGAGAAAGAGAGAGAAAGAGTGGAGATGCTGGATCGCAGATGAGCAATTTTATCGCGAATATATCGATTGCTTTCCGAGAGAGCGTTTTAACGGAGAGCTTTCTCTCTCTCTCTCTCTCTCTCTCTCTCTCTCTCTTTCTTTTATTCTCTTTCTTTTTCTTTTATTTTTCCTTTGAGACCACATGAAAAGAAAAAGAGGGGGAGAGAGGGAGATTGAGAGAGAAAGAGAGAACGGGTGGAGGGGAGAGGTAGAAAGGGTTATGTTAAACGAGCATAAGTATCGTATAAACGTTACTCCCCTGTCGATCGTTTCTCCAACATCCTATCTTCGAATATAATACGCTTATAAGTATGTACGTGTATATGTATGTACGTATACATATACATATACACACACACACACACACACACACACACACATATATATATATATATACATGTGGCGTATGATATAAATCCCACACATATCTCGTACCTATTCCAATCCACGTTAGAACGTTGAACAAGTCATACATTAATACGTTCATGCGAGAACGATGCTTATGTTTAGCTATGTATGTATGTAACTTATTATTAACTTTTTCAATTGGCAACACTCAGGTACGATTTCAAATCCAATGCCAATATCGATAACAACGTTCAATTCTTTTATACGAAACTCGGAAGTATATTAAAAATAATATGTTACTATAGTAACGACGTACAATCTTACATACAAAAAAAAAACGATTATTATTGGTGCTAACATAATTACTATAGATAATAGGGCAAATAACGTATAAGTAATGGACTATTCGTATTTAATACGTTAACAGGTGTTCGTATAACGGCATATCCTCCAACAGGAAACTAGAAATTATAAAATTTTATTGGGAGTATATATATATATATAACATTATATTATATTGGTTATATATATATATATATATATATATATATAACATTATATTATATTGGTTATATATATATATATATAACATATTATATTGGTTATATATATATATATATGCATATATATATATAACATTATATTATATTGGTTATATATATATATGCATATATATATAACATTATATTATATATAATATTATGTTATATTGTATTAACATCGTAATTATGAAATTAAAATATTTTCGTATACGATTTACTCCTTTTTTCTTCTTTTTTTTTTTTTTTTTTATTGAGAAACGATATTAAGCGTTAATTACAAGCACAATTGACTTACCTACGCGGAATCGATAAATCGATTTATACGAAATTTTATTTTGATTTTTATATAATTATTCTAATTTTTGTTTTATTTTAATTTTTAATTAACCTCGTTGTTATTCTATTATAAATCGTAAAATTATAAATCTAAATATTCCATTACAAAACGTAAAATTATAAACCTAACCACTCCATTACAAATCGTAAAATTTCATTATATTGTTATAGAAATGACGCGATTGTGATAATCGAAAGCATCCCTCTAAAAGATCATGAAAAGTCGTGATTTTCTCGTAAAAATTCTCGTCTTTCTTCTCACAATACTCGTGCTCAATACTTTAATCTTATCTCGAGAATTCGCTTTCGTCGCTCGCTTGATGCTTTCTCGAAGCTTTCTTATCGAGTTAACCGTATAGCCAAGTATTGGCCACGACCCATTCACTTCCGCTTTACCCGCGCACCTCCCTATCAATTCGTTTCTACCTTTGCTGTAGTACAAAGAAACTAAGAAGAGAAAAGAGAGAGAGAGAGAGAGAGAGAGAAAGAGAAAGAGAAAGAGAAAAAGAGAAAGAGAAAAGGAGAACGTGCATGCTCTTAGGGCACAGTAATGATATTCTTAACAATACGATTACTCGCATTTCCGGTCGGCACTACGACGAAGAGCTCTCGCGTATGCAAAAGCCCGTAAGAAGAATCCTTAGAGCGCTTGAATGAGAGAGAGAGAGAGAGAGAGAGAGAGAGAGAGAGAGAAAGAGAAAGAGAGAGAATCTACCTTGTCGATACACTTATTTACCAGACTCCAATGCGGAACAACTCACTGATTATAATTCATAAAAAATCATATGATCATTTTACGACGAAATCCGAAGTATAAAACGAGCTCGTACATATTCGATAGAACGGTGTATGAGAGAAGACAATACGTGTACCCGGGATATTTCCTAAATATATAAATACTTGGAGTAAATTTCCCAGTCAATTCAATGGTCACTGATATAATTTAAACGAATTTTACGAAAACTTCATTTCGCTTCACTTCGCTACATTTCACTTCGGTTCAGTTCAATTTAATTCAGTTCAATTTAGTTCAGTTCAATTCAGTTCAGTTCAGTTCATTTCACTTCGAAGAAACACGAAAACAATTCGACTTTACCGAATGTAAACGTTTCGAACGAAGCATCGATTGACACCGTCCAATGATTACCATTTCAATAAAATAAACTGTTTAGAAATAACTTCGAAGGAATATAACATTGTTAAGAGCGATTCTCTTCTCTCCTACAACAAAAAAAAATAATACGACTAAAGGATTCTCGAATTTATTGTTAATTAATTTATTTCTAAAATGCATCCTCGTCTAAGTATTTACATATATATTTACACACACATATATATATCTACGTATATAACTGTATATATGTAGATAGATACTTACATAGTATATAAACGCAGATAGCTATTTAAAGCTCGCCTTTGAAACGGAGATCCTTCCGCGAGGACGAATGTTCGGAAACACGGTAAAAGAGAGAAGAAACATCGATCTTTTCATCGCCTCCATTTGTACTCTCTCTCTCTCTCTCTCTCTTTCTCTCTCTCTCCTCTCCTATCCTCTTTCCGTAAAGCGTTACGAACGCGCGCTCGTTAAAACCCTTTTCATCGATCTTATCAGAAAGGTCAAGCTCTCCTAGAAGGTTGCCGTTCGTTCGACCAGTTGCGATAGCGTAAAGGGAAACCCTTCTTCGAGTATCACCTATTAACAGGAACGATATAAGGCACCTCTTATCCTTACCTTCAAAGACAGCCCTTCTCTCCTTGGCAGCCAACCAACCAACCACCTTCTCTAACCACCTACAACCGTTCTTCTTACTCCTTGTTTTCCTGGACCGAGAAGAGTTTCGTGCATTGGCACATTCGATACTCTCTCTCTTTCTCTCTCTCTCTCTCTCTCTCTCTCTCTCACTCTTTGTCTCTCTTTCTCTCTCTCTCTCTCTCACTCTTTGTCTCTCTTTCTCTCTCTCTTCTCTCACCTTCTTCGTGCACGATGCATTACGTACGGTGATTGCGTCACTGTGATATCGTCATTGGGCAGGGCGAACACGACTTTAGTCTTTTGCTTGCTGGGACAGCAAAAGCCTCGGAAGAGTCCAACGTAGTGCGTTTACCGACACGGCTTGCCCATTAGGTGGACCCGAACGCGGATCAGATTAGATTCTGTTTCGTTCGAGCCGGTCTCTTTCTCTCTCTTTCTCTCTCTTGTTCTTTCTTTCTTTCTTTATCTTTCTCCAAGCGCAACAATGCCGCGTAAACGCGATGCATCGGTCCCTCTCCGCCACCATTTCCCCTTTTCCCCACCATAGCTCGAACGAATG